TTTCTTAGAATTGTAAATTTTAGAATTCAAATTAGGATGAAGTTGATTGAAATTACTGGTGGTAGGGCGTCTTATGAGCCGGCACGGGTATGTACCCCCGACCTGCCTATATGTACCATTATTTACCTACCTAATCGTTGATAGCTAAGGGGCTATTCCAACTTCACCCACGGGCTCAACCTGAGGGAATTGCTAACACTAGCTCTAGCAAGAGCAGTGGTTCGCTGAATCTACTACCGGATCGGAATCGTGACCTACTGATTAGATCCGGGGCTCAACCTGAGGGAATTCCTAACACTAGCCCTAGCAAGAGCAATACTTCGATAAATCTACTACCGGATCGGAGTCGCGACCCACTGAGAAGATCCAACGAGAAACTCAGTGGGTTGTATCTTTGGACTAGTTAGCACGTCGAACTCTTCGTCGGAGCTTACGTTTCGACGAGGACGGTGACCGGTGCTTGAAGAGTCTAAAAGCACCGAAAGTGGATATGGGGGAATCGACAAGACATGTTTTGGGCGACGGCGACTTTGCTTTGTCCCGTTGTATAATATGTACCGTGAACGAGTAAGACCTCTCGGTTTGATTGGGGAGGCTGTTGTATAGTATAAAACTGAGACTCAGAACTCATGTCTCAAGGTAAGCCGTGGCATTTACGTTCTTAACATCTGGGTCATGTCAAGAACGTAACATGGTTCTTAACATGGGTTTTAAGCAATTAACCAAAAAAAAAAACTGAATCTTAATTTAAAAAAGTAAAATTAATAAAATTTAAATTAAAATAATATATTCAAAAATGTATCGTGGTTGTCACAACTCTATTATCTAACATAATTGAGACGAATTAGAGAAGAGCTGATCAAGACCCACGCTCAGCGCCGTATTTACCAATCGAGTATTTCATCAAGAAACCATAACAATTATTAAATATTAAATTGTTGTTAAAATGAATAAAAACATATTTACTTTTATAAGCACCTACATACTACAGAACCGAATTGTATTTTATTGATTGACTGAAAATGCTGTATCTGAAAGTAATTAGGTAATAAAGAATCAGAAAACAAGTACCGGATTTGTTTGAAACAATTAATTTTATCTTATCTAAACGAATGTATAAATATTCATTAAAAATAAAAACACCATTAAAATAACTTTTACAGTTTAAATTCGCGTTTGTAAATTTTATTAAATCTAATTATTTATATATTTTTATTTTATCATTGATTCGTTAAAAACAAAGTAACTAGGTACCTACATGAATTAAGCACGTTGATGGACGATTTTGAAACTAAAAAAATATATTAAAATTGTGTGATTGGAAAAAAAATCGTATGGCCATATTAGCCAGACAACCGATAGGTATCCGTTAGGGTAAACACGTTCTTGAGTGGAGACCGCGAATTGGCAAACGTAGTTCTGGACGCCCTCAAACTCAGTGGAGTGATGATCTGTGCAGAATGGCAGGCAGGAGCCTCGCCCGGTGAATCTAGCATGACCCGTCAATAGGTAGGGGGAAAAAGTATCTATACTGAGACCTTAGAACTTATATCTCAAGGTGAGTGGCGCATTTACGTCTGATGAGATGTCTATGGGCTCCAGTAACCACACCAGCTCGAGCTGTGAGCTCGTCCACCCATCTAAACAATAAAAAAATAAAAAAAGCTGGATGAGAGAAGTCGAGGATTGTGCTCAGTAGCGAGCAATTCAAAAGGCCTATGTCCAGCAGTGGACTGCTATACGCTGATGATGACGATTGATCGAATGACGATAAATCGAAATATCGATACCCGTCAAACGTACAGTCCCATCTCTAAAATAATCGAGAAGATTAGATTGGATTGCGTGTGATCGCACTAAGCGATCGATTTGTTCCACGATGTGATCACACAATAATCGGCTTTGAATTAATGTGGTCTAGATTGTCTGTTAAAAATAGAGAAGATTCAACGTCTATCCACAATCTGCCTACAAAGAATATTGCGGTATTTTGATCATGTTGCACGTAGGGATACCAGCAATTTGAAACGCCTTGTGGTGACCGGTAAAATAGAGGGAAAAAGGTCTAGGGGTAGAGGTCCCAAACGATGGTCGGACCAAATAGCGGAGGAACTGGGGATACCTATCAGCGACGCACTCCACCGGGCTGCAGCGCGGGATCGATGGAGACAGTTGGTTTACGAAATCGGACGGAGTCACGATCCTCAGCAGTGAGGGACCGATCGAAGAGAGAGAGAGAGAGATTGTCTGAATTACTGTTAAATGTATTTTCGAATTAATTCCCAAACTAGCTTATATTAACAATTGGAGCCAGTTAAGCATTAGCTGGTATATTTTCTTTTTTTAATGTTAATTTTTCGTCTGCCGTCTATTATTGTAATAAAACACGTAATGAACTAGATAGCCGACTTATACATAGGTGCATAATAACGTATATAATTACAAAGGACATAATAATAGTTAAAGTATTTTGTTCGACACTCGTTAAGTTAATTCCACTCCAAATGACTTGATGTAGCCTGTGGCTTAATAACTCCCTAATGATGCTTGTTAGAAATGATGGATGAGGGACAAATTGCTAACGGCTCTGGTACGCTGATTTGAACCTTAAATCGCTTAGAAATAAAGCCTAGACGTTTTGACAGTACAAATTATAGTACTCGATAGTGGATTTTCAATTGAAAAGTATTGTGTATGGTACATACCTATTTATATCTCTGTAAAATTTCGTGTTAATTATTGATCAATAAGCGGTTATCGTTATCGGGTCGTGGAATAGTTACATAAAAATGTTTTTTGCGCAAATCCTGATTATAAAGTTATTATTATTATTATTATTATTATTAATACTTTATTTCAGTTTTTTTTTTAAAACCATAACATTTTGTTAGTAGTAATTACTTATATCTATGTTAGTGACTTAAAAAATCTAACACATAACTATCATTATATATATACATTTTATACCATTACATTTTTTATTTTATTTTTTCTCCTTCCAAGTGCCTACTGCAAAGGCTATTGATCAGCAGTCCCTCGATCTTGCTCGATATGATTCTCAAAAGACTGTTGCCACTAATAAATAATAATAAACAAAACGTTTATTTTCGTTTAAATCTATATTGTGATGGAATTGTAATAACCTTAATAATCTATGGAATTGTAATTTTCACTTTAAAGTTATCGTTGTGTGCGCCATCTAGTATCAAATATAGTACACTAAATACATTACACAAACCGGGACAAAATACATATTCAAAACAGTTCTGCTACTTGTCAATAGGTGGCAGTGTTCTCAACTTCTAAGCTTTCCAACAGATGTCAGGAGTAATATCAACGATATTTAGATTTAGCAGGAATGATGATTAAACATTCTCAAGTAGGCTATTATAATCGATTTTACAATCGTAAACAATTACCATAATATTGTTAGGATATTTTTAGTTTCAATAAATCGTCCGAACCATATTTATGCAGTTCAGAATTGATAAAATAAATATAAAAATTAAATGCATTGACGCTTCAACAAGCTCACAGCATATCTGGTGTTAAGTGGTTACCTTAGCCTATTGACGTCTCAAACCCCATCCGCCTTGATAATTGAGGTCTCAAGTAAGCTAGACCACAGTTGTTTAGTATAATATCCACTCTTCATGTCGGAACACATTACTGCTTCAGCCGTAAACGGACGTGATGGTGGAACCTATCCAGCTGGGTTGACACGAAACTCTCTCTCTTTCTCTCATTAGTAATAAGGTTTTTTTTTATTGCGTAGGTTGGTGGACGAGCTCACAGCCCACCTGGTGTTAAGTGGTAACTGAAGCCCATAGAAATCTACGACGTAAACGCGCCACCCACCTTGAGATATAAGTTCTAAGGTCTCAGTATAGTTACGACGGCTGCCCCAGCCTTCAAACCGAAACGCATTACTGCTTCACGGCAGAAATAGGCAGGGTGGTGGTACCTACCCGTGCGGACTCACAAAAGGTCCTACCACCAGTAATTACGTAAATTATAATTTTGCGGTTTTGATTTTTATTACACGATGTTATTCCTTCACCGTGGAAGTCGATCGTGAACATTTGTTGTGTACGTATTTCATTAGAAAAAATGGTAACCGCCTGCGGGATTCGAACACCGGTGCATCGCTATATACGAATGCACCGGACGTCTTATCTTTTAGGCCACGACGACTTCTCAAACGTTAATTCTATATATTGTTTCTTCATCGTGGAAGTCGTTCGTGAGTGTGTATCCATATCTCATTAGAAGTATTGGTAACTACCTGTAAGAATTTGAGCTCCAATAGTCTCATCATTTGATATCGAATATATCTTTTGACAATGTTTGTATTACGGTAATTACATACAGTTGTATACGCGTAATAGAAATCGGCCGATGTTCCTGAATAGATACATATTGTTTCTGTTTTAATTATATATCTAGTCTATAGGTAATTCATGATGGGCAGCGGCTTGGCTCTGCCCCTGGCATTGCTGATGTCAATGAGTGCCGGTAACAACTCACCGTCAGGTGGGTCGTATGATCGTCTGCCTACAAGGGCAATAATTTTTTTTAAGGTTTTCCGTTCTCTATGTGTTTAGAGAGTTTTTACTTCTCGATAGCATAAAAGTTAATTCAAACTTGTATGGAGTTCGAACAGCGCCCCTAGCGGCAACGTTAAAAAACTCGCACTAAGCACGCGGGACACAATTTTGAAGTCAAAGGAAAGCCTAGAATCCATTTGTAATTGCCATTATATAGCTCGGAACTTCTACACTTCAGGATAGGGAATGTTTGCATTAAGCATAGAAAAAAAAACAGCGTAATTTTTACATTTATTAATTTAATCATTATGATTACATTATTGTTGTCAACATTTTTATTTCAATGGATTAATATTAATATTCAATTATTTGTTTTCAATTACCAATAATATTATTAATTAAAAATTTATCAATGTTTTGTTAACGAAACAGGACGGTAATTCTGATGGAGTCCATCCCACGTAAATAAAATGAGTTACTTTTATTTGATTATAATTCAATCATCAAACAATGCACGAATCCAGCCGAGACGTGCATTGCTCTATATTAAAAATCTTTACATCAAAACTTACAATTAAATAACGTATTAAGAATCAAATTTTCATTACATAATCTCGTTTTAAAATGTTTTGGCACGTGTTATTTTTTGTAATTTTTTTTTCATTTTAATTTTTTTATTGAAAAACATCGAATAGTTCATGGTTGCGTTCCCCTTTGTACCTCTTAGGCTGATTGACTTCTTCTTCGATGTAATCACACGGCACGAACAGCTAAAACATAGGAGTAGCTATTAATACTAAAATAAAATTTGTTTTCGAAATGTTAACTCGGATGTCCTTCTTTAAGCGGGGCTTGTGGAGAGTATTAAGCGGTTGGCAGCGGCTTGGCTCTGCCCCTGGCATTGCTGAGGTCCATGGGCGACGGTAACCACTCACCATCAGGTGGGCCGTATGCTCGTCTGCCTACAAGGGCAATAAAAAAAAAAGACTAGCTTTCGAACCCGCTCTATGGATTACTACATCACTAATATTCAACTTAAGACAAGAGGAGTGTACTGTACAGCCGCCTCTGCATTGAACGCGTCGAGCCACCACAAATAGCAACGGTGAAAATAAATAGTAGAAGTCAGAGGTAACTTAAAATGGAATTAATTGGAAAAGTGATTCTTAATTACTGTCACTATGGAACGCAATGATAATGATGAAGAGAATGGCGTCAGCAACACTGACGTTATCATTTTAAAAATACCATGGAACCAGCTTATCCGTCGTATATAATGTTTGTCCTGGTCTGTAAGCCACCATATGAGCCTAAAGCTTCGAGCTTTTTTTAAGGAAACGGGTTAACGAGCTTACAATACACGTGGGATTAAACGGTTACTGGAGCCCATAGAAATCACAGCGCGAATGCCGCCCCATCTGGAGACATGAAATTGAAGTCAGAATTATACTTTATACGACAGTCCTGCCCTTAACACCAGAACGAATAACTTCTTCGCGACATTATCAAAATAACCCTTCTACTCATATCTGTTCATAAAATATTTATAACTATTGATACCATGCCCCACACGCTTTTTTTACAATAAAATCATTTTTTCTTACACTATTTTTAATTCAAATTTATTAAAATTTATTTTCTATTTTTTAGTTTGATTTTCTATAAAAGCGTATTTTGTTAGTTTTTTTTAAACTATTATTTATTTTTCATTATTTAGTTGAATTTCAATTAGTTCAATTTTTTTTAAATATTGGATTGTCATCGGTTCTTAATAAGTATACCAAATTTCGAGTTAATCCGACGTTTTGAAGGGGGTCAAAATCATGTTCAAAGATTCCGTTACATTCTAACATACTTAACATACATAAGTCTGAAGCTAATAAAAGCGTATTAAAAAAATAGTACGATACAAACCCTATCATTCAGAGGTTTCCCTTCAAGCACGTATTTGAGTTTGTCCAGTTGGCACGGAGTCAGGATTCTCTCCAAGACCTCGTCTCTCAGTTCGTCGCGCTTGTGACCGTCTCGTTTTCCATTCGTCCATCCGCGGGAGTACTGGAACGTCTGCGCCGTCACCGAGGCCAAGGTCATCAGCGTTAGAATCAATGTAATGTTGGTTACCATTTTCGTCACTGTAAAACGAATAAAATTATGAGTTTTTTTTTCTTATTGCCTTTGTAGGCAGACAGGTAGACGAGCATACGGCCCACCTGATGGTAAGTGGTCATCGTCGCTCATGGACGTCAGCAATGCCCCTGGCAAAGCCAAACCGCAGCCTACCATTGTTTAGTGTAGACTTTTCTTCTTTGTCTCCACCTTATCCCACTAGGTGGGGTCGGCACAGCTAATTTTTCTATTACATTCTTTTCTATCAGCCGTCATCTCAACATTAATTCCTCTCTCTCTCATAGCGTCATTCACACACTCTATCCTTTTTTTTCTGTCGACCTCTTCCCCATCTACCTTGCACTACCATTTACATATATCTCGTAGTTTCTGAATTTGGAAAAGTCGTAGACTCTCCAAAGTGCCTGATGGATATGTTACCTACGTGTCCAGTCTAAAACCATTAACTATTGATCCTCTTTAAATTGTCCCAACCATTTAAACGTCTACCGTCAGAATCACGCCGTATCACAAGTACATTTGTGGCGATAAAAAGGTCTGGTTCTGCTTCATTTTAACAAAGCTTTTTTATGGATTCTTGTGTTGTTTTTTTGTCTTATTCTTGAAGTCTCTGAAGAAAACCTATAAATTATACTCTTTCGATGCAGTGCTCTATGAAACCTTATTCTAAAAACTATATTGTAGATATTTATGATAACTGATTTTGACTGACTCGGTAGTGCGGTAGTTAGCGCCTTGACTGTTGTGCCGAGGGCCGTGGTTTTAGTTCCCACGTCGGGAAACATTCCCGTGATGAATAGATTTCTACTCTTTGTCTGGATGTTTATCATCTATCTATCATCATGCTCCTGCCATTCTTTCAGTGACCTGGGGTCGACGCAACATGTTTTCTCTTTCCATACTCCTCTATCATATACCATTTCTCCGCTCACACATATCGTCTTTCATGCAATCCATGCATTTTTGCATTTTTTTAGGTCTACCTCTTGCTCTTCCTCTGTGTCTATCATCTATATATGTATATATTTAGGTATGTATGTGAGTCTCTCGTACCCATAACATAGGGAACCCTAATTTGAGGCCGGATGACCATTTGTGAGTTGATCCCCGTTATTTATTTTATGTATTTATTTACATGCTTTGGACTGTAGAGTAGTTAGTGCAGAGTCAGAGAATAGCGGGACCAAATCACTTGTCGTAGTTAAAAGGCGATTAAGGGATTCATCGAAGAATGGGTAGGAGTATTCTCCGGCATAAGCTAATGGGCGTATTATGAGCGCGTATGGCCTTGTACCACAATTTTGCCTATATAAGCTGCGAAGTTTTCACGCATAAAGGCTTTGAAGTGTGAGTCAGCAGTCATGACTGCCCACACCTCAAACAGGAACATATTACTAGTTTACGACAGACATAGGCAAGAAAATATTGCGTTACATGGATACAAGTCAAATTAATAACAACGTTTTAAAAAAAAACGATCACGATTTAAAACCTCCAAATCATAGTGCATAGATATTTGTTCTGGAGACTATTTCTAGAGTTTTCTAGAATACTGATTTAAAACGATCGCAATTTAAAACCTCCAAATCATAGTGCATAGATATTTGTTCTGGAGACTATTTGTAGAGTTTTCTAGAATACTGATTTAAAACGATCACAATTTAAAACCTCCAAATCATAGTGCATAGAGATTTGTTCTGGAGACTATTTGTAGAGTTTTCTAGAATACTGATTTAAAACGATCACAATTTAAAACCTCCAAATCATAGTGCATAGATATTTGTTCTGGAGACTATTTGTAGAGTTTTCTAGAATACTGATTTAAAACGATCACAATTTAAAACCTCCAAATCATAGTGCATAGATATTTGTTCTGGAGACTATTTGTAGAGTTTTCTAGAATACTGATTTAAAACGATCACAATTTAAAACCTCCAAATCATAGTGCATAGATATTTGTTCTGGAGACTATTTGTAGAGTTTTCTAGAATACTGATTTAAAACGATCACAATTTAAAACCTCCAAATCATAGTGCATAGATATTTGTTCTGGAGACTATTTGTAGAGTTTTCTAGAATACTGATTTAAAACGATCACAATTTAAAACCTCCAAATCATAGTGCATAGATATTTGTTCTGGAGACTATTTGTAGAGTTTTCTAGAATACTGATTTAAAACGATCACAATTTAAAACCTCCAAATCATAGTGCATAGATATTTGTTCTGGAGACTATTTGTAGAGTTTTCTAGAATACTGATTTAAAACGATCACAATTTAAAACCTCCAAATCATAGTGCATAGATATTTGTTCTGGAGACTATTTGTAGAGTTTTCTAGAATACTGATTTAAAACGATCACAATTTAAAACCTCCAAATCATAGTGCATAGATATTTGTTCTGGAGACTATTTGTAGAGTTTTCTAGAATACTGATTTAAAACGATCACAATTTAAAACCTCCAAATCATAGTGCATAGATATTTGTTCTGGAGACTATTTGTAGAGTTTTCTAGAATACTGATTTAAAACGATCACAATTTAAAACCTCCAAATCATAGTGCATAGATATTTGTTCTGGAGACTATTTGTAGAGTTTTCTAGAATACTGATTTAAAACGATCACAATTTAAAACCTCCAAATCATAGTGCATAGATATTTGTTCTGGAGACTATTTGTAGAGTTTTCTAGAATACTGATTTAAAACGATCACAATTTAAAACCTCCAAATCATAGTGCATAGATATTTGTTCTGGAGACTATTTGTAGAGTTTTCTAGAATACTGATTTAAAACGATCACAATTTAAAACCTCCAAATCATAGTGCATAGATATTTGTTCTGGAGACTATTTGTAGAGTTTTCTAGAATACTGATTTAAAACGATCACAATTTAAAACCTCCAAATCATAGTGCATAGATATTTGTTCTGGAGACTATTTGTAGAGTTTTCTAGAATACTGATTTAAAACGATCACAATTTAAAACCTCCAAATCATAGTGCATAGATATTTGTTCTGGAGACTATTTGTAGAGTTTTCTAGAATACTGATTTAAAACGATCACAATTTAAAACCTCCAAATCATAGTGCATAGATATTTGTTCTGGAGACTATTTGTAGAGTTTTCTAGAATACTGATTTAAAACGATCACAATTTAAAACCTCCAAATCATAGTGCATAGATATTTGTTCTGGAGACTATTTGTAGAGTTTTCTAGAATACTGATTTAAAACGATCACAATTTAAAACCTCCAAATCATAGTGCATAGAGATTTGTTCTGGAGACTATTTCTAGAGTTTTCTAGAATACTGATTTAAAACGATCACAATTTAAAACCTCCAAATCATAGTGCATAGAGATTTGTTCTGGTGACTATTTCTAGAGTTTTCTAGAATACTAAAGCGATCTGATTTTGGTTGAAGCATGTGACTATAGTACCAAACAAAAATTAGTATTCCTACTTCCCTATTAATTTACTGGTGGTAAGGCGTCATGTGAGCCCGCAATAGTGGGTACCACCACTTTGCCTATTTCTGCCGTGAAGCATTAGTGCATTTCAGTTTAAAGGGTGGGATAATCGTATTGTAAACACTGAGACTTAGAGCTCACGTCTCGTGGGTCATAATTAAAATTACCTTTAAAACCTAAATCTCGCTTTTTTGGCTGTATTGTTTTAGACCCTTATTTATAACAACTGATTACTGTTTCAAACTTTTTAATGACATTGCTAGCATTTTAGAAACTTTTTTGCATAGTAACGTTAACAGAAGGTATGGTATTTCATCAAATAAAGCAAACTACAGAAAACAAGTTATTATAAAGTAAAAGTTTACGAAAGCTGTAAAAACCAAAGTTCGTAAACTTCTCAATTCTTTCGAACAGGCACCTACCTACGTGTTCCCGCAATATGAGTGAGTTACAACAACGAAAACAGCAAAAAAAAACCTACAAACGGGAATCGTGGTCTTATAACTTTAATATTGTTTCGCCCGAATAAAGACGTAAATGAAAAAATGTTTATGAAAACGTGCCGTGTTTATGTGGAGGTGAGAAATAATAATATTGTTTGTGAAAACGAAATAACTGAACGGCGGTATGAAGGAAGACTTCTCTACGGCGTGTTGTTGATCAGTTGAATCCCACTTTGCACTATAGTAGAGTTATTTTGTCGCTGCAGTTTGAGTCATAAAACACAGCCGGGCTAGGGCGGTGAGCATGTTGTTATAGTTGAAATGTTTCGTTCGAGGCCGATGTGATGTTAGAAGTTATACAGTCCGTAGATTGTGCAGTGTGGACTCTGCCAATGTGAAGTCGTTTTTTTTTCTATCACACAACGGTGATCACATCTTTGAACCGAAAAACGACTGCTTTTGTCTTCTTTTACATTTGTATGACCATGTTATGTGTACAGATTCCGATGACAATGTGTTGTGTCGTGAGTTTATAATATATTAAAAAAACAGAATCTTCTCCTTCTTCATATTTTAAATTTCCATTCTAGACAGACGGGCATACGGTTCGTCCGATGGAGAGTGGTCACCATCGCTTGTGCACGTCAATAATGTTAGGAGCACAACCAAGGGCGTTGCCTATCGTTTAGAAGTACTCGGCAAGCTTTGTTTCAAGAAACAACATGGAGTACATGTGAGTACATGTGCAAGTTCATTCCGAACCCAGACTGTATGTGACAAAAAAGATCCCTGAAAGCGTTGCTATATTTTTAATAGCCCTTGTAGGCAGACGAGCGTATGGCCCCCCCTATGGTGAGTGGTTACCGTCGCCCATGGACGTCAGCAATGCCAGGGGCAGAGCTAAGCCGCTGCCTACCTGTGGATGAACTGTGTGATGCTAAACGCGAGATGAGGGGATCATCTCAAAAAAATCCTCAAAGGAATCCTTGATTGAGTGGAGTGACCACTCATGATAATTTGCACCATAATTTCGCCTACCTTCTCGAAATAAAAAATGGTTATCATAAATATATCCAGGTTACCTCGTCGC